AGGATTCCATGACCCCCATCCCTTCCCCATCCCTGTCTCCATGCCTTTTCCATGTCTGTCCCCATCCTTGTGCCAGGGGGGGCTCTGCCACGCCAGGAGGGGACAGGACCCCCACCCTCCCTCTCCCCTTTGCCGGTGACCAACTTTGCAATTTCTCGGGGATCATTTAATTGCTCTGTTCATACAAACACCCCAACTTCCCTCTCCCTCCGGCCCGAGGGGGCATTCCAAGATCCCCGACCCCGCACCATGCCCTGGGAGAAGGGGGGCACTCCCGGGTCTCCTCCCGCCTCCGCCGCGGGGCTTTTGGGGTTCCCAGCTCTCGAGCAGCACAAGGATGAGCTGGAGGTTTTGGGAAGCGCTGGGAACGCCTCGCAGCAGCGAGCGGGACCCGCATCTCCTCCGGGAGGAGGAATTATTAATATAGATAAACGCATACATGAAAAATTATCTTTTTTTTTTTTTTTTTTAAGGGGACGAGCCGAGCCGCTCCCGGCAGGAGCCCCCCCCGCTCCCCGCGGTCCCCCCGCTCCCCGATGCGGCCCTACCTGCTCCGAGCGGCGGCGGCGGCGGCGCCGGGCGGGGGCCGGGGAGATGCGGGAGGAGCCGGGGGAGATGCGGGAGGAGCCGGAGGGATGCGGGAGGAGCCGGGGGAGATGCGGGAGGAGCCGGAGGGATGCGGGAGGAGCCGGGGGGAGGCGGGAGCACCGCGGCGGCGGAGGCGGTGGACAATGGCGGGCGCAGCGCGGGCCGGTGCGGGGCCATCTCCCGGCCGCTCTCCGCATTGCACAGCACCGCAGGCAGAGCCCCCGCACCACCCTCCCCCGGCGTTCCCCCCCGCGTGTCCCCGGGATACCGCGCCCCCGTGTCCCTCGGTGTCCCACTGCATGGCTCTGGGATGCTCCTGGTTCCCCCCGCCGAGCCCCTCGAAATGATACCCCCGTGGTCCCCCCACCGAGTCCCCCGGTTTCCCCCACATATCTGCGGGACGCTCCCAGCGCCCCTCGGGGAGCTCCGGGGATGCTGCCCCCGCGATTCTGCCCCTGCACCCCTCGTTTTCCCCCTGCGTTTTCCCCGGGACTCCGTGGGAGGAGCTGGGAGAGTCCCGGGCATAATCCCCCCGCAAGTCCCCACCCCGCATCACCCCCGTGTCCCGCACCATCCCCGCGGGACGGTGGGTGGGCGATGAGCCCCCCTGCTGCTTTGCCCTCGCCCCCTCCACTTTCCCCCCAACCCCAGGGCCATCCCCATCAACACCCACCTCCCCTGCTCCCCACGGGCTTGAGGGGGGCAGGCGGGAGGACCCCCAGTGTGGGCAGCAGATGTGCCGGATGGCAGCGCTGGCTGGGATCTGTTTTCCCTGGCTCTGGCAGACAGGGATAACGGTCAGCTCTGGGATCCCAGCTCCGCTGGAGAGCCACGAGCCACGTGGGGGGGGCTGTGGGTCACAGCTGTGGTTTGGGTTTAGTGGCCACAGAGATTATCCCTGTGTTTTATATCCCTGGGTATTATCCCAGCCTCCCCGAAGGCTCCCCAGAAGATGGGGGGGGAGGTTTTGCAGGATTCATCACACCGTGTAAGGGGATGATGGGATTTTGGGGTCTCTCAGTGTGACCACCAGGCCCTAATGGAAAAATGGCCTCAGCCAGCCCCATGTCCGACTGAAAAATCCCGCTGCACCCACTTCTGATGGGAATTGTCACCTGCAGTGTCGGGATGAGCTGCAGCTCGGCTGGAGAAATCCCAATAACCAAACCTGCCCAGCACCCTATGGTGGTGGAATCCCTGTGTCCTGGGATTCCCGTATCCTGGCTCATCCCCTGACCTGGGATTATTCCCTGTCCTTCTCTTCCCGCTTGGCCTGAGCCCCTTTGAGCCCTCCCAGCTTTCCCCCCCCCCCAGCACACCTCACTTTGCTGCGGGGTGAGGAGGCGGGGGGATCCCCCTTCCCAAGGCCGTCAGTGAGGACCCCCCTCTTCCTGCACATCCCACGGGCAGCACGAGGGGCAGGATGAGCCTGTTGTTTGCGTCCCGAGCCGTGCCACAACCACGGCAAGTGTCCGTGGGGCTGGGGGGGGGAGCGGGCAGGAGTGGGGAGACAGGCAGGGGGAGCAGGTAGAGAATGCAGGCAAGGGATTGAAGCACAGGGAGTTCAGGCAGGGGGGTTCAGGCAGAGGGGCACGGGGGGATCAGGCAGAGGTCCAGGCAGCCACTCACGGGCAGACAGCGGGATAAACCACCAGAGCGAGCAGCACCACCAGAGCCCGGATAGCTCAGTCGGTAGAGCATCAGACTTTTAATCTGAGGGTCCAGGGTTCAAGTCCCTGTTCGGGCGTTCAGTTTTTCGCCCCTTTCTTTCTTTTGGTTTTTTATTTTTTTTCTCCTCCTCCGAATTAATTTTCTTTCCCCACCTCAAAAGCCTTTTGTTTTTTTACACCCCCAGCACCGCCGGCGCTTCCCGGTCGGAGGGTCCCGGTTGCGCCCCGGGAGAATCCGGGCGGGAAGTGGAAAAAAAAAAAAAACACGTAAAGGCGAAAACTGAAACCGCCCGAACAGGGACTTGAACCCTGGACCCTCAGATTAAAAGTCTGATGCTCTACCGACTGAGCTATCCGGGCTCTGCGAAGCTGCTCACGAACAGCTTTTATCATCGACACCGCAGGGACAACCCAACCGCGTGAGATCCGCCCCAGAGTCCCCCAAACCCGGAACAACCCCACGGACTTTGCTCTCTACGCGCAGCAGTTCAGGCACTTCCCAAGCACGGCGTTAATTGGGGTGGTTTTTGAATTTCCATCCAGGTTACGCGACCCCAGCTCCCTTCTCCCCCCTGTGCAGGGACAAGGGGTTCTTGACCCCTAGGTGGGATTTTTAGCGTTGTCACGGAATGGTTGGGGTTGGAAAGGAGCTCTGGGGATCCAGTCCAGCCCCCCTGCCGAGGCAGGGTCACCTGGAGCAGGTGACACAGCGACGTGTCCAAGTGGGGTTTATATTGAAGGTAATTGGGTGTTATAATGCCCAAGTGGGATTTATTGTGTCCAGGTGGGGTTTATAATGCCTGGGGGGGGCGGTTTATAAGGAAGACTGTTCAGCTCTAGGGCACAGGAACATCGAGTCTTTTGTCAAGTCAGTAATGTCTGCACAGACACTCATCGACATCCTGATTTACTGCATCCCTAAGGCTTGTTAATTCCAGGATGTCCTTGAGCCTGGGATGGAACTGCTGCCCGTGTCACTGAGGCTTGAAAGTACATAAAGATCTTATGTCAAAGAACACCTTGACTTGAGACAATCTTGATTTTTTAATTTATGTTTGATAGTATTTATAATTTGCTTTAAAATTATGTATGATATATATTACATATATTACACATAACATATATTACACAGCATAATATATATTATATATTACAAATAATAGATAATATATGAAAATTCATACAAGTAAAAATATATTATTTATTTATCCTTACTTATAATAATTATTAATGTTTATTATTTACTATTTTAAACGTCATTTTCATTCTTATTTTACATTTTCCAGCAGGGCTGAGGGGGACGCTGCGCCAGGGTCCTCCACCCCACCGGGGGGCGCCACATCCCCCGCGGCCCCTCTAGCCGCGCGCCCCGCGCCGCTCGCTGTCCCCGCCGCCATGTTGGCCGTGAGGGGAAGCGGCGGCCCGGACCCCGCCAAGATGGAGGCGCGGAGCCCTCGGGGGGTTTAGGGGTCCCGTCCCCCCCCCGACCCCCGGCCCGGGGCCACCCAGGGCCCATGGAGCGGCTGTAGGGTGAGCCCGGGGCCGGGGGGGAGCCGGGGGTCCCGGGGAGCGCAGGGCTGAGGGGGCGGTGGGAAGGGCGGGGGGGGCAGGAGGCGGTGCCGGCGGGAGGGGCCTGGGGCGGTGGGAGCGGCGATAAATCTTATCTCCTGGGAGGGAAGGGCTGGGAATTGGGAGGGTTCGGCCTGCAGGAGGGAGGTTCCTGCGTGAGCTGATTGCGGCCTGAAGGAGGCGACGGGAAAGACGGAGAGAGGCTAATTCCAAGGGCCCGGAGGAGCAGGACAGGGGCAGTGGGTTTACGCTGCCAGAGGGAGGGTTGGATGGGATATTGGAAAGGAATTCCTCCCTGGGAGGGTGGGATGGAGTTCCCAGAGGGTGCCCCGTCTCTGCAAGTGTCCAAGACCAGGTTGGATGGGGCTTGGAGTATCCTGGGACAGTGGCAGGGGATGGGATGGGATGGGCTTTAAGGTCCCTTTCCAACCCAAACCATTCCATGATTCCATGATCTCACCCCCACCCAGCAGAGGAGATTTTTCCTCATTTGAAGCCGAGCCAGTATCAAGGCAGCAAAGGAGAGCACGTAACTAAAACAGTAAGAATTTGAGTCAGGCCAGTCTATAAAGTATGAAATCTGTTAAATTCTGTCATTCACTGCCCAGGTTTATCTTTTCCTGCTGCCCCTTCCCAGCCAGAAGCAGTGAAGGGTCTGGGCAGCTCCTCCCTTTGCTGGGAGGGCAGCTCTCCTCATTCCTTGGCTGGCATCCCAAAGGACGTGGAGGGACTTGGGAACACGGTGAGGGGCTGGGGGTGGTTCCCGGGGGGACTTCCAGGCATGAAAGCACCCAGGGACTGATAGGGACAAACCTAATTATCCCTGATTTAATTATCAAATCAGTGCCTGTTTAGGGCCTCCCCTCCAGGGCTGCTCTGTGTGATGCTCTACACGGAATTACAAGTTATTTTCAGTGTTTTGCTTTGTTTGAAAGCTTGAGAAGGGCTGTTGCTGCATTATCACACCTGAACTCACCATCAAAACGAACCAGTGGAGAGCCCACAGTGTCTGGTTCACACTCCCTGCTGTGTTCCCACTTCACCCACAAGTTAGAAACTATCCTTTCCTGGAAATGAGGCTCTAAAACCAACCCTGAGCTCGAGTCAGTTTAAGTGAGCTTTCTGGGCTGTGCTTGCACTCCCTGGGTCTGGTGAGGTCTTTAATTCTCAAGCATCTTAAAGCTGTGCTTTGGTGGGGTTTTGGTCTCTTGGGAGGGAAGTTCTGCTCCCAGCACAGGCAGACGACTTGTTCCTGTGGTCTGTGTCGAGTTTTCGAGTGGAAAATACGGTTATTCATGACTGCTCTGTGATTCATGGATTCCTCAGGCGTTGCTCCGCTCCAGTGGCATTCGCTGGAGCTCCAGGCAGCTCTGAATCCACTGGGGCTCCGCTCCCTTGGCTGCAGGTTGGTCCAGGCACAGCGCTGGGAGGTAAAACGTGGGATATTTGGAAGCAGAGCTGTAGGGGAGGGTTAAACTTGGCTCACTGAGCGAGAAGCTTCTCCTTTCTTCGGGGATTTGCACCCTGGCTGTGAGCAGGGGCTGGAACCGAGGGGGGGTTTCTGTGCCTGCTGGCCGTGTCCATGGATTCTGTGGGAGCCTGGATGTGTTTCAGCGCTCGGGAACGCCGAGGTTGATTAAAAAAAAATCACATTACTCAGAATCAAACTCGCTGAAAATGTTTGCCCGTAAAACCGGAGGCAAAGTGACGAGCTGCTGATAACGCTGATGAAATCAGTGTTGAAACAGTTAAAGGCATCTCTGATCCCTGCCTCAGCCCGGGGGCAGCCGGGCCGTTTTCCCGGAATGCGGGGGGGAAGGAAATGCAGCGTTTTTAGTCCCCCCCTGGGCCGGTTTCACACCAGCCCGGGCCGTTATCGGGGCTCCCCTCCCAGCCCGGCCCGGCGCCCTTTGAAAGGGCGAGTCAGAGCCCGGAGCATCGGCGGGACGGGGCAGAGCCTTCCGGGGCTGCTCCGGCCGGGAATCCAGGGAGAAATCCAGGGAGAAGCACCCCGCGGGGATCCTGCGGCGCTCGGTGAGTCTGCCCGCGGGGAGTTCCAGCTCAGGGCGGGCACCTCGTGTTCGGTGTTACCGACCAGAGATCCGCGGTAAAGTTGAGGGGGGCGAGAGGGTGGAAGTGCTTCGAGATGCGTTTTGAGTTTGTGTTTTGAGTTACTGCCGCTCTTGAAGTTATTTGCAAACCTGAATGCTTAATATGCTTTAATCGGCCCTTCCTGAATATTTAGAGAGACGTTTGATCTCTGGGAATGATTTTCTTCCTGATAGTGCCTCACTTCAGAGGACTGTAATGCCATAAAAACCATCAGAAGCCTCTAATAAAATCATTAAAAGTCCTTTTTAATAGATGGGCAGGGACTGAGGAGTTGCCAGAGCTCAGGAGCTTGACTTGGTGCTAAAGCTCAGATTTCTGTCATTACTGAGCCACCTTGAGCCTGTTTTGTCTGCACTGGGACCTTTGGTTACATTCCTCAGGCAGCACTCTGGGAATTTTGCTGATACTCAGGCTGATCATGCTGGCCCCCAGTCTTGATAACTGGGTGTAGAAATAAATTCATTTACTGGGGTGGAAAATTCTGGGAAAGTTTCACACCTTCAAATCTGGTGTCTTGATTTTAGAAGTGAAATTGAAATAATTATCATTGAAGTTGAAATAATTAAACTACTGCATGGATTAAAAGTTGAGTCAAAACATTCCCAAGGTTGCAGAGACCCAGGCAAGCTGAGGAGCCAGTCTTGGTAGTTCATCTCGTGCTTTAGCCTTAATTTTACCAAGAAGGCAGTTGCAGGGCTTGTTTCAGTACTGCCTGTAACCAGTTTCGTGTTAAAATTGAGATTTTACTGTAACTCGGTCCGGGGACACATCACTGACTTAGTTATTGGTCTGAGCTTTAGTGCTGAGACTAAAATCAAGGATTCACGTTCATCTCCATTGAGTTCAAGGTACTTTTTCCCAGGGAGGAGTTGATTTAGACCATCCCTTCTCTTCAAAGGTCTCAGCTCTGTTGTGTGGGGCAGATGAAAATGGACTGTGCTGTGAACATGAGTCATTGCTGCTCTTTGGGTGGATTCTGAAACCGAGACAAATTCAAATAGCTGCAGGACTTCCCCTTTTGTTCCCTTCCAGGAAAGGATCTGTCACCTGCTCACACAGAAACTGTTCAAACTGTTCATTTATCTGCAGCAATTTTAGCAGATTCTCATCTCCTGGAAGTCAAAGGAGGTGGGGAATGTGCTAACGAGGGCCATCAGCTCTGGCTGCTACTCCTTTGGGAGTCAGGGCTTGCTCTCCTGGGATTTCCTGGTGGCTGCTGGTGACTCAGCTCCTCGTTCCCCACCTCTGACTCAGGAGTTTCACCACAGTTTGCTGGTGCCTCGTGGGCACTGGCAGGTCCCCAAGTTCCTCACCGTGCTGTGTCACTCCTGGAGAGGCAGAGAATCTCAGAATGCCAAAATCCTAGACTGGTTTGGGTGGGAAGGGACCTCAAAGCTCATCCAGTGCCCCCTGCTGCCATGGGCAGGGACACCTTCCACTAGCCCAGGTTGCTCCAAGTCCTGTCCAACCTGGCCTTGGACACTTCCAGGGATGAGGCAGCCACAGCAGCAGTGTCCCAGTTGTCCCATGGCTGGGACAGCTCAGAATTATGGAAACACTGAGGTTGCAAAAGGCTTCAGCATACTAAGTCCACCATCAACCCAGCACCACCACCATGGTCATCATCAAACTGTGCCCTCAGGTGCCACATCCACACGTTTTCTGAGCACTTGCAGGGGTGGAGGTTCCACCACTGCCCTGGGCAGCTGTGCCAGTGTTTTATAGCCCTTTCCACCATAGATTTTTCTTCCTATCTAATCTAACCCCCCCCTTGGCAGGACAGAGCAGGGGGGGCACAGGACCATCAGCCTTGCACAGCATCATTTGAGATGTGACTGCAGGGCTGATTTTAAACCCTGTTTTCCTGAGGCTTCTGCCAGGGTGGAAGTGGTTGAACTGCAGCCCAGGTTTCTCAGCCTGACCCTTCTCAATTTTAGGTGTGTGCTGTGAGCAGCTATCACTGCCACCATGGCCTCCCCCAGCCCTGCCCAGCACCCAGCAGCTGAGAGCTCCTGCAGGATCACTCTGGGACAAGCTAACCAGGTAATTTGCTGTTATTTCCTCCACTTATCTTTGCTGCTTTCCCCTCAGACCAGTGATTTCTTCCATTAAATCCAAGCTCTCCAGGTATATTTAAGTAAGGAGAATTTACCCTAATGGAGAAGGGGCTTTCATCCAAAGGAGTTGTGTTATCTTTCACTCTCAGATCATTTAGGAATGGAAAGGAAGGGAAAACTGGAGGTAGAAAAATAACACAGTGAATGTTTTTGTGCTGAACCTGTCCTTGGAATATTCCATGCTCACCATTCCTCCTGGAGCTGCACTCTGGGACAGCTGTATTGGAGCTTTGTAACCTTATATGTTAAACTTTGCCTGGTAATGCATCCCCAGGCCTTTTCTGAGTGTGTTCAGGTGGCTTTGGACATGAAGTACTCCTGTTATCAGCTGTTCCTGGAACAAAAGGTATTTGCAGGTACAAGCCAAGGCCAACATAACAAGTGTGTGTTTTGAGTGTGGCTCAATACCAGCCACTCAGAGAAGAGAGATTTGCCAACAACAGCAGAAATCTGGTGTAAAAAAAATCAGAAAGTCTCTTCCAAGCCAGGCATCCAACCTTCCCGAGCCAATTCCTTGTGAAAAAAACACATCCCCACGATGTGAGGGAATGTGGTGGGAGTGGAAATAAACTGATGGGAAGTTGAGCATTTCCCATTTGAGGCTTTATTTAGAAGCTTTGAACTGGAGCCAAGGCCTGTGCAGAATTGATGTCAATGCTTATTTATTCAATTTGCTCTGCATGGGAAAAAAAAAAAAAGTAAATAGGCTCTGATAATAGTGACAAAATATTGATTGTCAACACTCATGTCCCGGGCAGGGTGGAACAAACACTTCCATCAGGACGGGGAGAGCTGAGGGCCCATTTTAGAACAATCCAGCTGACTGGGTTGCTCCTTTCATCTGAAGGAGACTTCTGAGAAGTTCCTTCAAAACCCATTTGAGAGTGGTCATTAGAGAAATGACTGAACAAACACATAATTTCATCTTATTAAAAGCCATGTGCTGGTACAAGCACTTGCTGGAGCTGTGCTGAGCTTTTTCCTACTGCAAAAGCTGCTTTTTTGAGGAAGAGACTTGAGGCTGGACACGAGTTGTTGTGTTTGAGCTGGAAAATGCATTTAAGAAACACCACAGTGAGAAAACAGAGCAGGCACATCCACAGAGGAGGGGAGTTTTAGAAAACAGGGGAATAAACAGCTTGCCAAGGTGCTGCCTGAGAGCTGAGTGACAGATGCTGTCCATGACAAGCAGCCAGACCTGCTCTCCTTTTGCAGGAAAAAGGTGCTGCAGCACAGCTGGCCTCTTAAAAACATCCCAGACTGGGTTGGGTTGGGTTGGGAGGGATTTTAAAGATCCCCCAGTCCCTCTTGAGTTTCCAGCCTTCCCTCCCAGGAGGAATGGCATCCAAGTTAATAGGACTGTGGGGGGGATTAGAGCCTTTGGAGCTGCCTGCCTGGGATTCCTGGGCTGTTTTTTCCTCTTGCCCAGTGGCTGTGCCAGGGTGATGGGATGTCTCTCAGCAGGGCTCTGCTTCCTGTCATTCCAACAAAGCTCTGCTCTGTGTTCCAGGTGAGGCCCACACTGCCACTCCTGAGGATTCTGCAGGCAGCAGGAGCCCAAGGAGACACCTTCACCCTCAAGGAGGTGGGCTCACATTCCAGGCTGTGCCTGGCCCTGCTTTTCTGGGAGTTGGGATGGGACTGGCTCCTAATTTTTCTCTACTTTGAACCCCTAGCTGTGAAGTAAGGATGCTTCACCTGTAGGACTGTTCTGGCTTGATTGATCATAATGCCCCTGGAGGAACTGGAATAAGAGTGTGAAATATTATTTATCCCTGAAAATCAGAAACCTCTGTAGAGAAAGGAGAGATGGGATAATCACATTCCTGAGAGAGTGTAGAAGATTCTGTTCCATTGTGCTACCCTCTGCTCAATGTACCAAAGCCTTAAAAATTGGATTCCAGTTGATACTTTTTAACTTTCCCTCGAAATGGCTTGTCAGCTTAACCTGAGAGACCCTGTGTTTTCATTTATTTTTAGATTAAAATGCAATATATGTACACGATTAAAAAAATGACAGGGTGATTTACAAGAAGATCCTGCCTGCAAAGAATTAAATGCAGTGGTTTTTTATTATATGTGTCAAATCTTCCTGCAGAGCCCTGTGACTTAATTTAACACTTATGCATTTAAATAACTTATTTAGCTTCTAAAAATTTGTGCAAAAACAAATTGGATGGTTTAAATGGGCAGAGCTGAGTATTAAGTGCAGGTTACCTGTAGGGATTAACACTTCAACTCAGCTGGGTTTTCTGCAGGGAGTGGAGCACTGCTGGCAACTTCTTGGGGACACTTCGGGGTCACTTTGGTGGGTGTTGGGGGGTGGAACTTGCCTGTATTGTGCTTAATGCCCTCTGCTTTCCCCTGGGGAAATTCCAGAGGAATTACAGTACTTTGGATTGTAGCTGGAGGATGTTTCCTCTCCATCCCTCTTTGTGATACTAATGGGGTTCATTTTACACCTGGCAGGCTGTGTCCTGAGGGGCAGCACTGGAAGTGTGGGCAGCCTTTGGGAACAGCTCGTTCTTTTGACTGGGGTGGTGCTGTTTTTCCATCCTGGCCTCAGTTTTCCTCCTTGTCCAGGGCTAATAGTTCCAAACCTTATAGCAGAGTCATAAATCATAACTCTCCCTTGGCTGGGAGGCACAAGAAGCCAGGTATGATTTGGCTCACACTGCACAGAGCAGCAGGAGGCCAACATTGTGAGTTCACTTAAACTCCCAGGGGTTTTTGGTGGTTGGGTTTCAGCTGCAGGTGGGGCTGAGGGTGTGCTCTGTACCCACAGGTGATGCATTACCTGGGCCAGTACATCATGGTGAGGCAGCTCTACGACAAGAGGCAGCAGCACATGGTCTATTGTGGAGGGGATCAGCTGGGAGAGCTGCTGGGCCTGGACAGCTTCTCTGTAAAAGATCCAAGGTAGGGGAAAAAGTCACCTTGAACCCAGCTTGTCTGAGCGGGGCTCGCTGAGACACGAACTCCTGGTGTCACTGTCACTTAAACCTCCCTGGTGGGGACGGGTGTGACACGTGGGAGCTGAGCCCCTTGTTCTGAGGAGCCAGGGAATGGTCCAGGCACTGAGCTGCTTGAGGGGACATCTCTCCCCCTCTTATTCCTGCACCTCCTCAAACCCTTGGTCTCACTCCAGCAAAATCTGCATCTGCAGCTGAGCCCTGAGCTGAACTTTGTAACAATCAGTGAGGAGTGGCCAAAACCCCCCCTGCACTGTGTTTCCAGTGTCCCTCTGGGTAAGGAAAGGGAATTCCAGGCCCCATCTGAGCAGGGTGAAGGTGGTTTGTGCGGGAACACTCACTGTGCCTCCCTCCCACAGCCCCCTGTATGAAATGTTGAAACGGAACCTGACGGCGGCTGCGCTCACAGGTAGGTTGGTCACAGTCCGGGCAGGGCCTTTCAATGTAGTGTTGCTATAACCTGGTAAGTAATGAAAACCAGACACAGAAATGTTTGTCAAGCTGGAATAAACTGCTGATGAAGGTTTTGAGACAATCTCTCGGAGTATGTGTCTTTTCTGTGTGTCAGTAGCTGTGATGCCAGAGCAGGGAGCTGTTTGAGTGATGTGGCTGCCTAAAATGGCCAAATCTCAGGGAGCTAAATGCTGTGGATAAACAAATCAGCATGGCTGGAGTGTCCCATCCAAATCATTATTGATTTTCTCAGTATTTTTCAGTTTCCTAGCTGCAGCTCCTCCTTCTCACCTCATTTTATACTTTCATAATCTATAACAGCACTAGAAACCCAGCGAGTCCAGAAGTCTGGACTTTAATCAGACACTTGAACCTTTAAAGGTCACTGTTGCTTTCCCAGCTCATAAGAGAAATCAAATCTAGCTCCATCAGAAGTCCTTCAGTCATAAATGGAAATTTATTCTTAAATTAATCCTGGCTGATGGCTTCCTTGCAGCCAACTCCCATTGTGGGGCTGGTAATCTCCACTGGAAAAAACCAACCTGTGAGAGAACTGCACTGGGAGAGCTGTGGAGTCTTGTGCCATATTTCCTGGGTGCTCTAAGCAGATAATATGGACTGAGTTCTTTACAAAGGCTCAGGCTATTTTTGCACAAATGCATAAAAGCTTGTGCAGATTTAGAAACTGAAAAAACATGGCCCTGAAGTGCTTAGTCCATATTGGTGCCTCTGCTTCAATCCTAAAGAAGGCTCTTTTGAGGTGGACTCTCCTAAAGCTGTAGAATACCTGTGTGAGTGCTGTTTGCCTCCCTGCTGATGTGCTGGCTCTTCCCTAAGGCAGTTTGTGTGGAGAGCAGAGGATCCCAGCAGACACTGTTTGCTGGCCTGTCCCCTTTCCCTGCTGTGTGCCTGTGTGTGTGTGTGTGGTGCAGTGCTGGGGTAACCTTAAAGCTGCCAGAGGAGGTCCTGTTAGACCTGTGTGTGTGTGACTGAAACGAAACAAGCTTGGCAGACCAGGCCCTGGACAGATCCCCAGGGAGGGCCACTCCAGGTGTTACTTTTCCTTCATCCCAGCGCAGGAATAACCGGAAGTGCCTTAGGACTTAAAGGGCTCTTCATGTGTCACGTTCTGCAGTAGCTGCTTGAGTTCACTGGCCAAATCAGGGCTTGTCAGCTCATCATTTTGCAGATTATTTGACCCCTTTTAAGTGCACTTGGAGAAGGAAAAGTGGCTGCAGCACATCTTGAGAATGAGGAATGAGCTCTTACACAGGGCTCTTTATCAGACCACCATCTGATCTCACACCTTCCTTGGCCAGCTCTCCCCCAGGTGTGACTCCCCCGAGGTGTATTTAGGAATCCCTCACGTCAGGGACATTCTGTGTGGGATATGTTGGCTCCTAAAAGGGGAGCCTTCCAGTCAGTGCAGGGTTTTTCACACAGTGAAAATTTATAAAGTGGTAGAAGGGTGAGTCTACATCTGTTCCAGTGTCCCTGCAGAGCCAAAGCAATGATGGATGAGCCACTTGGCTTCTGTTTTCCTTCAGGTATTAAATAACCAGTGGCTGCAGGAGCTGTAGGGTGATGGCAGCAGGAAGGGAAAGGTGAGCTGAAGCAATGAGGGACAGAGCCATGTCATCCTGTCCTGGGTTTTGCTCCATTTGATGGCCACTTTGTGGTCTAATTTTTGCCTGTAGCAACAGTTTTGAGTGTCTTCATGGCAGTGCTGTGATTCATGGTGTGAATCAGACTCCTCCTGTGTGCCTGGCGCTCAGCAGGGAATTTCTCTGCTAAATTGAAAGGGGAGCAAGCAGGAGCCATCCTTGGAGCTTTTGTTCTCTAGCCAGCCATTCTGTCTGAAGGACAGGCTTCCTAAGTGCACCTCCTGTTATGTAGAAAGTTCTCTTAATTGGATTGTTCTTGCTATTTAGCTTGGTCTTTTAATTAACTCTTGGGGCCAGCAGAATCATCTGGATTAAATTGTGTTAGGGATGTGTCCACTGCTGCCCAGGAAAGAGCTGGCTGTGCATGGAATTTTCCCTTCTTTAGTCTAGTCTTTGTTCTTCATGCCCACACCCTTTAAAAAGGTGTTTTTCCTGCCTGAAAGAGATGGAATCCTCAGGTAGTTATAAAAATCTTGCTCTGCCCTGTTCCCCTTCTTCAGCATGGATCTGATCCCGGTGGGATTCCCCACGCTCTGGGTCCCTGCCTTTGGCAGACCTTGTGTCGTGTCCCTGGAGCTCGTCATGGCAGGACAAGCTGTAGGCACAGGAGCAGTTTTTCCCTTTGGGAGGAAGACTCTTCCCTGCTGTGAGTTTTCATCTTCTCCATGGGCTGGCACAGCCTGTATTCCATGGGCTGCTGCCTCCTCGTGCTTTCTGAGGAAGGAAGGGCTTTGCTCCCCAAGGGTTTCTCGCAGGTCTGCCAAGCCTGGCTCGTTGGTTGCTTGTGAAGGCCCTCTGTGTTGTGAGAATGGTTATTACTGGGGAAGGTTTTTTCTCTTGTTTTACCTGCCATCTAGATGCTGCACAGACTCTCCCAAAGGAGCAGAGCGTCGATAAGCCAAGCCAAGACCAGCTGAAGGTAAACCCACTGCCGGGTGGTTTCTTTTGTTGTACAGAGTGCCCCTTCTCTGTACCTGTGCATGGTGGACTGCCAGAACTTTGTGCTGCTTGGCTGCCAGGTCCTCACCTTCCTGAAAAAGTTCTTGGAGTCCACAGGCAGGGACAGAGTGACCCTTCTCTGTTCTCCTCATAACAGAGTTCCAGTCTCTGAGCGCGTTTCTCTGGGGTGTAGCACTTCTAGTCCTCAGTTCCTCCAGCCTGCTCTGCTTTTCCACATCTTTCCCCCTCTCTCCCATCCCTTCCCCTGAGTAGGAACTGCCAAATAACTAAGCTTCCTAAAACGTGTGACCAGGTGTTTTTGTGTTTAGTTAGGATTGTTTTTCGAGCTTTCAGGCAGAATTGGAAACCTAGGAAAAATCTTGGCACCTTCAAACTCGTCTCCAGGTGTGATTTGGGGTGAGGGCAGCCTGGTCTGGGAGGTGTCTGTTCACTCTGGGGGCCAGAGAGTCACAAATACCACGGTTTTACTGCATGAAAGATGGCAACTTTGGGACTTCTGCCAAGCTAAAGATTTTTCCTAGGTTGGAAGTACGTGTGTGTGTGCTGATTACAGGTGCCTTAGGCTTTGTCAAGGGTAAATAGCATGTAGATTTTGCTCAGAAACTTTTTATTCCTCTTCATAACTGCTTGGCCTTGTCCTGCAGCTGGTGACTCGGAATGGAAGTGCTACATCCCCTTGTCCCTATAAGCTCTGGTGGACTAACACCTGCATTTTCCTCCCTGCAGCTCAGCCAGGAGGAAGGTTCTGGTGCTGGGAGCACGGCGGGGGAGGAGAGCAAGGCCTCTGCTTTGTCTACCTCGGAGCAGAACTGTGACACTCGTGAAGGTGAGTCCTGGCTCTCCTGCACCAACACCACGTGCACCAGCCCTTCTGCTCCTCCTCTACCTCAGCAAACACCGGAGGAGGATTTTGGGACGCCAGTAAAACCCTGGTTTGGAGTACAATCATTAAAACCCATCAGTTTATGCTAAAGACTGAGAGAACACAAATGTTGACCAAAGGTATTTTATGATAGATGTGTTTTCTGGCTGGGCTCTTTGGTCTCATAAGCAAACAAATGCTTTGAAGGAAATGGCAGGTTAAACCCCAGGAGCACATCAGTCACTGAACAATGCCAAGGAATATCTTACAGACCTTGCTGAAGGGTATTTTAAATGCTGAAATTACACTTGTATCCATTTATCTTCCCAAGGGACTCTCCTGATCACACAGAGCCCAGACTGCACTGTCTGCAGTCATTACCTGCAAACCAATCAGGGAACTGAACAACAATAGGGGTTTTTTTTGTATCCAGCACAAGTGTAAGACACTCCTTCATATTGAGACATTTCCTCTGGTGTAATGGCTGGGGATTTCTGCCTGGGTCACTCATTCGGATTTCAGATGTTTTTGGAAGCAATGCTCCTGATTTTTCTGCTTTCTATTCTCAGGTTGTTTTCATATCAAGGAACCTAATTTGTAAAAGCAGGTCTTTGTGAGTGTGGGTATTTCCAGATCAAATGAGAGTGGGAGATATTTCCTTTATGTACAAATGAGGGAGAAGCAGCCTTGTCTGTGCCTTTGAGACTCTGGCACGGAAGGGAGAGAGACTCAAGGTTATCTTGAAACTTATGCTGAGTTTGGGATCACAGACTAAACTGCACAGGCTAAAAAGGAGGCTGGATGGGGAGCATGGATTCCTACCTTCCTGCTCCCTGTGTGAGCCTGGTTTGGGAATACAGGAATTGCCAGATCCACCAGGAACAGACAGTCCCCAGAGCCCTCAGCAGGAACTGGGGGAAGAAGGAGCAGGAAGGGTTTCTAAAATCAGATGGGGCCATGTTTTTCTCTGCTGGTCTCTTAACAAATGTAGGTGTGGCATGACTTAGACTCTACTTGGCTCTTACAGACAAAGACTTAATAGAAAACCTCTCTAAAAGCAAGAAGCCTAAACTGGACCTAGTGTTTGAGGAATGGGATGTAGCTGGTCTTCCATGGTGGTTTTTAGGCAACCTCAGAAGCAATTACAAGTCCAGAAGTAATGGATCAACAGATATTCAGACTAACCAGGTGTGTAGACGTTTGGAACAGGTGCACTGTGTCCTCCTCCTCTCCTCTTTTGGGTTCCAAGGCAATAAAATATTCTTGTTCTTTCTTTCCCCTTCCCGCTCCAGGATTTTCAGCCTCTCCCTTGTGTGTTCCTGTCCCAGCCTTTCACACCAGGTGGTTGGTTGCTTGAGTGGTTTTGAGTGAACCAGACTGTCCCTGAGGCCCTGCTGGGCCCTCACAGGTCCCTCTGCACTCCAGGAGCTGCCCTTCTGCTGGTTGTGGGGTGGTGGCCAGGCAGAAGGGGAAGGAGCACAGAGCTGGAAGTTGGGAAAAGGGGGTGCCTGCGAGTTGGAAGATGGAACAAGGGGTGTGTGAGAGTAGCAAGGTGCCCTGTTCTGTCCTGGCAAAGCTGCCCGGGGCTGAGGAGGTTGTGGAGGAGGAAAAGGGGAGAGTGCTGGTTGTGGTGCTGCTCCTGGGCTGAGCTGTGAGTGGTTTTCCCTGTTCCTTTCCCCTCAGGACATTGACACTGCCATTGTTTCGGATACTACTGATGACCTGTGGTTCCTCAACGAGTGCCCCTTGGACCAGGGCAGTGCTGGGCTCAAGGTGGAGGTGCTTGACTGTGAGGAAGTGAAAGAAGGTGACACAAAGGTACCTCTTCCAGGGTTTAACTGATCCCCTGGTGCTGTGCTGATACTGGAACCACCCAGAGCTTAAACTGTGTTCACAAAAGGTGATGCCTATCCTGCTCAGGCTTTGGGTTAAATGTGTGTTTTCAAGGCATAAAATTAATTTTAAATGAATCAGACCTCCAGCAGCAACTTTACTAGATTTCTATCAAGTATCTTCAAGAATAATAAATCACAGAATCATAGAATTAAGGTTGGAAAAGACTTCAAGTGTCATCAGTTCCAGCTGTCAATGAAAAGACTCAAAGAGGAAAATCTCAGTTTACATTGACCACAGTCAAGTAGGACTAAGCCAATGCAGCAACAATTATCAACATTCTGGAATAAAAACACCACAATAATGGCTTTTCATTCACATATAGAAGTAGCTTGATTAGCATGGTGATTATCCAGTCATTTAATCTGGGTGTGCAGTGCCAGGCACGTGATAAATGGAGATCACTGCAACATTTCCACTCTTTGCAGGTGACTGAGGATGTGTGTTTGAATGACTTTGAGGACTCTCAGTGCTTGAGTGATGACACGGACACAGAAGCTGCTTCTGAGGTGGGTGATCCCTCAGGACAACATTCCCTGCTGGAGCAGCTGCATCCCAGCTCCAGCTGGGCCAGCTCATCCCACACCCACTGCTGGCTGTGGCAGGAGAAGCTGATTCTTGTGACGGTTTCCAGGCCATAAGAAGGGGCTGGATGAAGTTAGTGCTGATCTCCATGCAGGTTTTAATCAGGTTAATTCCATGTGGAATCTGGAGGACAGTCCTGGGCAGAGATCTGGAAATCTCAAGTAAGCACTTTGCAATCACTCAAGTGCCTCACCCTGGAAAAACCCCTTGCCATGGGAATTTCTGTGTCAGGATCAGGGATCAGGATCAGGGATCAGTCCTGGCTGTCCAGCCCTGGAGCTGCCCCTCGTTTTGTGTTCCCTGGGATGGGGGCAGAATTCCCGGCTCAGCCCAGCCCTGCTGTCCTGTGACTGCCATGGCTCTGGGCAGGAGGGTGGCGTGGCTGGGCTGGAGTCTGTGCCCTTGTACTGCTCTCAGAGGACACACCACAGCTTTTCCCTGCTGAAACAAAACAAGGTGGGAGGAGAACAAGCAGCAATTACTGAGCTGTCACCGCTCCTCTCTACCCCACTGCCCCAAAACCCCTCAGGGTGGGTCCTGAGAGACATCAAATCTCTGTTCCTTGAGCTGTCCTTCTCTTCTCCCAGTCCTGAGGCTGCCTTGGAGGTTTGTTCTAAGGCAGCAGAAGTGGATCATGAGACTCTTTGCAGCTGATGACACAAAAACAACCTGATTTTAGCATCATTTTCTGGCCTGTGCTGGAATAAATGGGGACGTCCCTGGCACTGGACAGCTGAATTGTGACTCTGAGCTTGGGCAGCTCCTGCCCTTGCTGTGTGGGGTAATCAAGCAAACCTCTATTAACTGTGCAGATTCAACAGATGCCCGGTGATCAGTGAGCCTGGGAAGTGTATTCCTGATTCCAGGAGCTCTACCCTGGAATTCCCAGTGAGATCCTGAGAATTCAGTAAGCTGCCCAGCAGAGAACACTGTGTTCGTGCAGAGTGCTGAAGGCTGGCAGGGAGGGAGGGAGGACAGAGTTTAATGTTTGAGATCTGCATCTGCAGAACACACAGGGGGGCTCAAATCCTCATCAGGCTTTCTGAGGTGCTGAGAATCAAACTAGAAAACTTAGAAATGAGGCAATAAATCTTTTTTTTTCCATGAGGCTTCTTTGCTGCTTTTCCCACATAGAGGAGATGAGCTGTGCACCAGAGCACCCTCACTGACTGCTGTTTTCTGGCCTCCCCTCCCCCAGGACTGCTGGCAATGCACCAAGTGCAAGAAGTTCAACTCCCCGGGCAAACGGTACTGCTACCGCTGCTGGGCCCTGCGCAAGGGCTGGTACTCAGACTGGCCCAGGCTGGCCCACTCCCTCTCCCTGTCCAGCATTGCTGCCAGGAAGAACAAGGAGGAAGAAGAGGAGGATGAGGGCATAGACGTGCCAGACTGCAAAAGGACCCTGTCGGCTCCGGCTGGGCAGCCCACCCGTGTCTTCATGGTGGAGACCAAACCCCCCTGCGGCTCCATCGAGTCTCTGGACCTGGCACGGGCCCGTGAGAGCCAAGAGTCTCTGCTGAGCTTCGCTGAGAGTAAAAAGGACGAAGAAATCGAGTCTCTGGAGAGCATAAAAACCCTGCTGAACCCCTGCTTCCTGTGCCAGCACCGGCCCCGCGACGGCAACATCGTCCACGGCAGGACTGCCCACCTCGTGGCCTGCTTCAGGTGTGCCAGGATGCTGAAGAAAAGGAGATCCCCCTGCCCAGTGTGCAGGAAGGAGATCGAGATGGTCATCAGGATCTTCATGGGGTAGCTGGGCCGCTCCAGGCCTTTCTCCTCCAAGGAGGAGCCAGCAGGTTTCTTTGCACTTAAGCCCCAGTTTCAGAGCTCAGCCAATGAAAGCCAAAGAGAATTAAGATTGCAGCCTGCCCAAGCACGCTGAGGAGTCTCTGCAGTGTCCCCCTTCCCGTGCCCCTGCAGATTAAAGCCTGTAGGGAACAGGGAGGGACACTCTGGTGTCAATGCCCCAGCCTGCAAGTGGCCAAAATCTTCACATTTCAGCCCAGTGGTGCCACTGGGATTCCCTGTCCTGCCAGCTGGTCCTTGAGGAGGACAAGTTTTGGGGAAGAGCTGTGACTTTTGGAGTGCTGTTCTCCAGTAAGTCACAGCTGTGCAATCAATGCCTTCTGAGGGGGTCTGATCTGAGATAGAGACAAATATCCAGGGGTGGGAAGGGTGGGATTCCAGGTGTTTGCAGCTCAGATAAGCCCTTTCTCCAAGGATCAGTTCTCCTGAGGGCAGTGTGAAGTAAATAACCCCATTTTTGATCTTTTTTGGTTGATTTTTAAGGTAGGCTTTTGAGGCAAGGTGAAGGTCCTGTTGCTCCCAGACAGGAAACAAATCCTCCCAAACTCTGAATCCAGAACTGTCTCAGGTCACGTAGAGAACACAGTGATGCATTTTTGCTTTCTTATTGGCTCATTTAATTTACATTGATTTTTTTTTCATTTAAATATATTTTCTGTCAGCTTACATGGCTTTCAAGCCTGTCCAGCATTAGCTCAGCCTTTGCTCTGCCGGTTGGATTCGATTCCAGCAGCTCTGTGCCTGTTTTGGGATGTTCCCAGTGCACCTTCCAGTGCCTCATCTCATCAGCCTGCACACAATACACTCATTTCTGAGTGCAGTGTGGCTTTAAAGGCAGGACATGAGCCTTTGAGGGGAAAAGTGACTCCTTTAAAGCACCAGTTGCACTCTGGGGGCTGTGCTGGGTGTCAGGTTTTTAATTTTCTCCTGCTCTTTTTTATCCCCCCCCCCGCTGTGATTTAACACTCCAGCTCTGCCCTTCAGAGCTGGCTGCTAAAACTTAGTTAAAACCTGCCATTGAAAGAATCTCAGCCTTCCCTGAGGCGATACCCAAGGCTGGGCTCCATTCCCTCACTTTTCCCTGTTTCCCAGACCCTTTGGGGGACCAACAGAACCTTCACCTTCCAGCTCTTCAGCAGTTGGGAGCTCGTGGAAACACGGCAGGAGAAGTTCCTGCTCATTCCCTGATGCTTCCTCGGGCTTTTCCTCCTCGTTTTCCGCTCTCCACGTGCTGGTCCAGCCCCAGCAGGTCCAGGGGGGGCAGTGGGAGCCCTCCCCCCAAAAACCTGCCCAGCAGAAGGCTCCGGCAAACCACGAGTTGATGTTTCCTTGCAAAATCCCAGAGTAGGTGCTACCAAATCCCTGCAAATCACTGCCAAAACCCCCTCATCCTCCCGGAGCCCTGGGATGCTCTCCCTGGTGGCTGTAATTGGGATTGCTGGTGGCAGCTGTGCCCGGAGCACCTCGGTGCACCATCCACGGGAATCAGTCCCCGTGGAAAAGGTGATTTATTGTTTCCTTGAACTTAAGAGTTGTTCAATTGCTGGCCATGCACTTTAATCTCGATGGGATCAGCAGCTTTACCCCTGCAGTTACCCGAGGGAGGGCCTGACAGGTGGTTTCTTTCCCCTTTCCATGTGGCTTTTTCCCCTTTTCTGGTGTTGTGTTTTTTTTTTTTTTTTTCCCCTTTGCAAGTGGGTTTTTTTCCCCTTTCCAGGTGGGTTTTTTCCCCTTTGCAAGTGGGTTTTTTCTCCTTTTCCAGGTGGGTTTTTCCCCCCTCTTAATTTTTTTTTTCCCTTTTCAAGTGTGGTTGTTTTCCTTTTCCATGTGGCTTTTTTTCCCTCTTTTCAGGTGGGTTTTTCGACCTTTCCACGTGTTTTTTGCCCTTTTTCAGGTGGGTTTTTTTTTTCCCTTTTCAGGGCTCAGCAGGGTGCACTGTGGCACTTTTGGATACTGTGAATTCCCCTTTGCCACAATTGCTTCTGAAAGCTCCCATGTTTTGCTCAAAGCAGTTGCAGTGAATCGCCCACATCTGGCCACGCTGAAAGGGGTGTGATTTGAGTTGACCAGAACAAAAGTCACGAGGGTTTTGAGCTGAACATCCCTCCCAAAATCCCACTGAGATCCCTGTGCATCTTCCCCAGTTCAATGGGATTTCAGTGGGGCAGTTTGGGGTGAACCTGGGGGTCATTTTCAGTGCAGTGCTGTTCTGTCTCTCTGATTTTTGTTTACAGCGTGCATTTACCATCTCCTTAGATGTTTTTAAATGGAGTTTCCACGCCCTTAAGGCACCACAGTCTTGAGTGGATGTTGCTGTCCCAGAAGAATAAGCTATTGCAGTGCCAGTCCCTTTGTGGAGCTCTGGCTTGCCCAGGTTGGGGCGTGGAAGGAGAGGAGGAAAAGAATCTTTTATTGCTTAAAGTTTAATCCCAGTGTGTAGCAGTTCACCAGGAGCCCCTTCTGCCAGGGGGTGCCACTTTTAGGGGGTGGAGGAGTAGCTCAGAGCACTCAGCTGTGGTGCTGGGAATCCCTTTCCCACAGGAATTCACCTGGAGTCAGAAATGCTCTCCTTGGGGGATCCTTTACCCGTTGGTGTCTTTGCTCACAGCAGGTCCTCCCTCTCCGGTGGTTTTGAAGTGCAATAAGAGACAAGAGGCCCTTGGTAGCCCTCAGTGCACCCCTGTGCACACAAGTTGTGGGCACAACCATCTTTTCAATGCCCAAACTAAAATGTTTGATCTGTTTTACTGCCTTTTTTTTCCCCTCTGTGACGCTGTTTGCTGTTCACAGGAACCTGCTGCCAGGGCTGTAAGGTCAGGTTTTTCCTTTACAGGAGTTTTGGCACCGGATTTCTGCCTTTGTTGGGTATTTAAATAGAGCATGGAAGCTCTGAAGCTCTCCAGTGTGTGGGTCTCGTGCTCTGCAGCGTGAAAATGTGTTTGTAAACTGTGTCTTGACAGCCAGAGGTCAGCACAGCCAGAGTATTTCCAGCTGAAGTGCCTCTTCTCAGTTGCTCAGTGACTTGTTCGCAGCTCATCGGCCTTCCCTTCAGCTCTCCAAAAGTCCCTCCTGTGCTCAGGGGTGTTAATGAGCCGGTTCAGCCCAAACAAAGCCTCTGCACAGAGGGAATCCTTTGGAGCTGTGGACTCCCTGCCCTGTGTCCTGTGTTCGTTCTGGGCTGTGGTGTGGAGCACAGCACAGCTCTGCCAGGGTCTGCTCCACCCTTCTGCTCCTCAGAAGCTGTGCCTGCAGAGGGGAAGTGGCACTGGGACAAATGGCAGTGGAAATGGAGCAGAAACCAAGTGTCCCGAAGCCCCTTGGGGTTCTGCCTGTTCTGAGCTTCATCTTCCAGGAGAAGAGCTCTCACTAGAGGCCTTCCATTCTGGAAGGTTCCATGAGTGAAGAAGGAGCCAGGGCACTGCTCTGCACCTCTTTATCCATAAGCTGACTGAGGAATCCCTCGAGTCCTGTGAATCCTCTTTGCCCCCCCAGCATGAGCAATGTCGGGATCCCTGAGAGGGAGATGCTGCCCCAAGAGTGAGACCCACGGGTTTGGCACAGCTCCAGAAGCACAGCTGACCTGCAGACCAGCAGCTCCTCAGCTCTGCAAACCCTTCATGATCCGTGCCCAGTGCCTGGAGTGTTCCCTGCTCCTCTGGGGACAGGCCTGGCCCTGCCTGTGCCCTCCTGGGAGCCACAGTCCCCCTCTGCACCTTCCCCTGATGGCCACGGGCAGCTGTGGTGGCTGCACTCCTGTTTCTGTGTTGTTTTACCCCAGCCAGGTGCTCTTGCTGCCCACACCTCTGTGGGGACACCCCTGCCCTGTCACCTGAGCAGCTGCTTCAGGAAGATTCAGCTCCTGGAACCCTGAAAGGATTTTGGGGGGGTCTTCCAACTCCCAGAGGGCACAGCCACGGCTGAGGAGCAGCAGGAGATCCACGAAGGCAGCAGGAACACCTTGTACCTCTGGCAGAGGTCAAGTCTGGCTCTTCTGGGAAGAGTGGTGCCCTCCTGGATCTCCCCATGTCCCTCTCCCACAGCCTGGTGTTCCCAGGCACATTTTCCTTGTCGAGGAAAACCCCCCCCCCCATCCCACTGTGCCCCCACCAGTGACAAACAGCAGCTCTTGCTGAACATCACCTGTGTGTTTGCACTATTTAAATAAGGCTTGTACCACAAAATTGACCCTATTTTTTTTGTGTCCTGCAGAAGATGAATTTAATTAAATCGAGCTCATTCTCCGATCCCGTGGGTTTTGTTTTCATTTGTTCTGCAGTCTGGGGGGAAACTTTCCAGGAGCAGCCTGGGATGGAGCAGCCTGGGATCCTCCTGTGTGTCCTCTCCAGGGAGGGGGGGACTGTCCTTCCTGGGGTGTGTCTGCCCTGCTCCAACGTCTGTGTGTGCAAAATCCAGCAGGAACAGCAGCAGCTCTGCATTCCCCTCCTGGTGCAACCCCTGCTGGGTGCTTTTCCAGCCCATTCCCAGTCCCTCTCCTCTGACATCCAGTTTCCCAGGAGGGGAACCAGCACCTCACTGTCCTGTGGCAGTGCCAGGGGTTTTTACCCCTTTTCCTGCTGTTTTATGTTATTTTCCAGAGCAGGGTGGCAGCAGCCCTGGAGGAGGCAGGGAGCTCACTAGATGGCACCCACTGGCTGTGCGTGGCACTGGCAGCTCCCTGCAGCCCTCCCTCCCTCCAGGCTCCACAGACCCCCAGGAAAAGGCACTGAGGGACAATCCCATGGCTGGGGCCTGGTTTTCCCTGTCCCCTCTCTTTGTGGGGACCAGCAGGCTGCAGTTCCTCAGGCTCTGCCCCCTGTTTAACCAGCCCCACACCCCCCTGAGCCCGGTGGGTGCCAGGGCAGAGGGCTGGTGCCTTCCCCACCACTTCCTCCTGCCTTGGCAGGATATTTTATTTATCCACTTTGATGACTTTCCCTGGATTTAATGCTCTGTAGGTGCCACTTCTATCTGTCTTCTCCCTCCTTCCCCTTAACCTGGTCTGTGCAATCAGTGCCCAGATTAAACATTGATGGTGTTCTCTGTACTGGTGAGCTCCCAGTTCCCTTCCAGTGCCAATTAAAGATTTACCAGGTGGGCATCAGCACTTTGCAGGGCCAGGGCAGCCCCCATCGCTGGAGTGTGTAAGTGCTTCGTTGTCAGGGCTGAGCAGAGCTCACCACAAATTCCATCTCCAGCACCCCAGAGGCAGCTCCTGCTCTCCCTGCAGGGCTCAGCCCCACACAGGGAGGAGGAATTCCTTCCCAGTATCCCACCCCACCCTGCCCTCTGTCAGTTCAAAGCCATTTCCAGGCAAAACACAGGAGGAGGGGGCAGGAGCCCCCAGCCCCTCTGGCTTCTCCAGCTCACGCTGCATTTTGCTTCAAAAAACAGGAGAAAAGGCTCTTTTATCCCCCACTTTCTCCTTTTTTTTTTTTTTGGGGGGGGGGAGAGCCCAGGGCTCCTCCCCCAAAACCAGCCATTTCCCCCCTCTCAGCAGCCGGGCCCTGCATTATTTATCTGCTCAGGAGCCGGGATCTGGTGTTTAATAATAAACTGTCACTCCCATCTGCCCTCCCCGAGTCCCCTCAGATCCGGGGCTGTGGCAGTTTGAAATATTCATCAGCCCCTCACCGGTGGAGGCTGCAATTTGCTTGTAATTAAAGATTTACAAGACACTGCTCGAGGTTTAGGGAGGATTGGCGGGGATCACAGCTGTTTGCTACCCACACTAGAAATTCCCAGCTCTCCAGGGGTTTTCCAGGGGACCCCAGCAGAGCAGTGACAGCGCAGACCTCCCTTTACGTCTGGGGTGAGGTTTTTTTGCTGTTGTTTTTAACCGTTTTGGCTGATTCTCCTTGCAGGGGTGGCAGCTTTGCCCCCCTCCCTGTCTCCCATCTCCTGCTGGAATGGCTGGATCCCTGCCAAATTCCTTGGGGTCTCACCCAGCTGCTTCCAGGGTCCTAGAAAGGGAAGTTTCATCCCACGATCCAACAGGGGCAGGGAACAAACAACCTGGAATTCCCCTTCCCTCGGTCCTGCCTTCTCCTCCTCCCTGCCCTGGGGACCCCGGGGTGTCACAAAACAAGTCACAGCTTTGTGCCTCAGTTTCCCTCCCCTGTGGTCTGGGGTGGGGGGCAGAGCTGGGGCACCTGGAAGGAGCTGATTGCTGAGCAGATTGACTGACAGGAAGATTCCTCCTGCAGGTCTCGGGAGCTGCACCTGCTCCATCCTAATGGCATCATGCATATGGATAACGCTGCTGACATTTCCCAGGGAGGTCGGGGCTTAATTTAAATCATCCTTGAGGAAGTGCTGGAGAGAGAGAGGAGGAGGAGAAGAGGCCTGATTTGATTCCCTAACGAACTAATAAACCCGTGGCAGCTCCTCCCAGGGCCTGGGAGCCTCTGGAGCAGGCAGGGATGGAGCAGCAGGAGCCCAGCAGTGCCCTGTGGTGGGTGCTGGGGACGTGGGACCTTGGCAGGTGCCAAGGGCTGCGGGAAGGAAGGACACAGTGATGGAGCCACTCCAAAAATCGGTTTTATTGGGTGCTTAAAATAGAGCCTGGCACACAATGTTCCCGTTGGCTTTGCTGGGAGAAGCTCTGTTGCGTGAGATCCACGGTGCTGTTGGGGAGGACAATGAGGAGGAAGAGGAGGAGGAGCAGAAAGGAGGACTTTAACTCCTGTTCTCAAAGTCAAGGTAATAAATTAAATCAAAAAATTAAAATTTAAAAAAAAAAGGAGAAATCGAACCTGAAGAACAACCAAGGAATGGTGGGGGATGGGGGAGAAACCAGTGCCTGGAGGTGAGGAAAACCATTTCCAAACAAACCTTCGACATCCCAGATGGATGGAGACGACCAGGAGGTGCTGGAGGCCAACCCTGCTCACTCCCCCAGCCCCACTGAGCCCCCCAGGCCTCCCAGGCTCGGCTGAGGGGGTGTCTGGGGTCGGTGACCGTCTCTTTGCCTTGAGAAACTCGGGATCCTCTTGTCCAGAGTGTCTGTGAGAGCTCAGGAATGGGAAGTGCCATCCCCTGGTACCCCCAAAGCTGCTGGCTGGTTAATTGCTGCTGCTGCTCCAAGGGAAAAAGCACAACATGTTGTTTCTATTTTGGGCTGCCCTGTGCTTGCCCTGCCCTTGGGGGGCCGGGCACAGAGCCCTGGAGTCGGGAGCATCCCGGGTCAGACCCTGCTTCCCTTTTTCCAGAGCATCCCTGGCTTCTGCTGCATCCCTGTGCTCTGGGCTGGCAGCTGAGCCCCTGCACGACCCCTCCTCAGCACCCAGGGGGCTGCTCCCCCTGGAAGGGAATAGAAAATGCCTGAAAAATCCCTGTTCTCCCTGCTTTTCACTCCGAAATCCTGGGCTTTGCACCCCAAAACATCTCTGATGTGCTCCAGCAAAGCCCCCTGGGTGGAGAATCCAGGCTCCCACAGCTTGGCTGTGCTCTCTGCAGGAGGAAGGGCCTCCCTCCCATCCCTCTGGATAACAGGGATGGTGCTGGTGATGCTGTGCCTGCAGCTGCTCCAGCTCCACGTTCCCCGTCCCGGCCTGGGAGCAGGGAATGGTTTATGGAGCGTTTCCCTCAGCAGGGGGCCTGGGAAAGGCTGGTTGGGGCTTTAATAATAAATAACAACAACAATAAATAGTGGATGAGGCACCTACGGTGCTCTCAGCTGCTGCCCTTGGAGGGAGGGAGGGAATAGGGGGGGACTCACAGCATTTTGGGGGTGTTTTGGGGGCAATTTGGCCCCTCCTGTCCCATGGGGAGCCTGGGAGGACACGGTGGGGAACCCCCCTGGGAGATCAGCCCTGCAGGGAGTGGTGGGTGCCTCCCCCTGCCCAGAGCTCCTCAGGCTGCTCCAGTTTCAAAGGAGATCAGATTAATTGCCCATACCTGGAATGCCAGTCTGGGACTGCAGGAGCAGAGCACCCAGCTCAGGCTGAGCCGCCCCCTCCCCTCCCAGTGATGGAAGAGGCTGCTTCTCTACACCTACAAAATCACAGTCTTTAAGGGGCTCGGTCCTTGGGGGTTTTTTAGGGGAATGCTGATGGTTTTTGCCGGGAATGGGATGGTGGAGGGGGTGGGAGATGCTCTGGGGGCTCGGCCCTTGGCAGGATCAAATCAGGGCTGTGTTCACACCACGGGAATCAATCCACGACCACTCCCACGTGTTCCAGCATCAGCTCAGCTGAGCCACGGGGGAACAATGCATTGTGCATCCACTTTTCCAAAAGGCAGAGGGGAAAGGCTGTTCCAGGCCTGGAATCTGCAGGCACAGGGAGCTGCTCACCTGAGCAGGGGCTCAGATCCCCAGCCAAGCACCCACAGCAGATCATGGCCCGAGTTAAGCCTGGTGTTTAAGCCTGCATTTAACTTCCAGCTCGTGCTCAGGGCCCTGGAGATCTCCCTGGGTCCTGAACACATGCTAGGAGGGCTGAAGGGGGACCAGGGAGAGCCATTTCCCTCCGAAATAATCAGCCAGCCAAGGCACAGCAGTCGTTTCTCGTGCCTGGCTGAGCCCGAGCGTGTCCAGCAGGGACCCATCTCGCCTGGGCTGGGAGATGGATGGGAAGATGGAGCAGGTTTTCCACTGTGCCTTTAGGTTCTTTCTGGTCCTTTCTGAGCCCTTTGCACACAGGGGCTGTGGGGGTACAACCTGGCACCTGCACCCCATGACCCCCAGGCGTGGCTGGGGTGCCTTTCCCTGGCTCTGGATGCCCCTGTGCCCACCCTGGGGGTGTTTTTTGGGGGCCACACGTGTGTTAGAATCATGGAATGTCCTGAGCTGGAAGGGACCCACAGTGACCATCCAGTCCAACCCCTGGCCCTGCACAGACACCCCAACAATCCCCCCTGTCCCTCAGAGTGTTGCCCAAACACTCCTTGGGCTCTAAATTTGGGGTCCCTGCCATGGAGCCCTCCAGCTGCACCCCAGCATTTCATTTCTTCCCCTCATTTTTTTATAGACAAAACCAGAAAACCAAGAACTTCCTCCCCTTTTTTCTTCCTATTTTCCCTCTTTTTTCCCCCCTTTTGTAACACTATCCACAAAAGTTTACAAAACAGCCTTGAGGCTGCACCTGCAGGACAAGGGAACCATCCAGCTCTGGCAGGAGGTGCCCAGCCCTGAAGAGATGCCATGAGGCTTGTCACCATCATCATTTCCATTATTTTTACCCCCAAAATCCCCTCCTGTGCCAACAGCAATGACAGGGCAGGGGATGGCACTGGGGGTGGTTTG